AAAAAAAAAAAAATTCGTAGAAATGTGGTAAAAATTTTCAAGGATCCCACTGCTTCCAAACTTCAATATCGGTTTCAGCTCTTTTAGTTAGATGAAGATCGCGGTTCTCGCGGAGCTAACAAAGAAAATCGAAGAAGAGTCTCCGATTCTATTTCTCTTTCACTTTCTCTCTCATACGAGCGTACGAACGATTTGTAAATACGTTTGTAAATATATGCGCCAAAGCGAGTTTGCCACTAGATTAAAAAATTTTAAAAATGAAGCGACCTCGTTTCGTGTTTTGTTAGGCGATCGCGCGTTTTAGCTGATCACCAACGTCGTTAGCTAGTAATCACGTGACGGCGGACATTTTTCGTCGCACAATGTTCCCCATGGGCGACCAGCGGTGTGGGGGAACAGAGGGGAGAGATTTATTGATCCGAGTTCAACAGTTCGTGAAAATCGTTTGTTCTTCGCCTTCAGTTTTGCTTCCCCGAAAACAGCGAGGGGCAGCTTCGAATTTCTTCTTTGTACCTTTCGAATGGACAATTGTTTCTCGTCTAGGGACTTTCTGTCTTGCTTGCGACTGATTCACGAAAGTGAAATCTATGCGTTAGATGGTGTTACGTTTGACTTGTGATGTTCTTTAAGCTTTATTTGCCTTTGTAATATCATTGTTTGTTTCATTGAAATTCGGGATTGAAATTGGAAATTCGAAAATTGTGTAAATTAGTAATTATTGGATTATGGGCTATTCGCGTACTTAAAATACATCGACGTGAAATGTGTCAGATACGAAAATATGGTGCGATATTGGAAATTCTACTACGTGTTGAAATTGGAATTTCTTTTCCACGTATGCACATGAACTTTACGTACGTATGTGATTTCATCGGTTAAAATTAATTCCAACATTCTTTGTGCATGGTGTAATGAGATGCACGACGTAATGAGAACATATTTAAATGTGCGTTGCATTATTTAAATTGCTCTTATCCTTCAATATAACTCCGACTGTTAATATCTGTATATCATCGATTTGTAATATAGCTGAAATTTCTGTTCGAAGTTGCATTTCATTTCGACGTACACTAATTCCTTCCTTCCATTCATTTGCATTCTTTCGTCCGTGTCGTTCAACAATCGGGTCTATAAAATTTTACTTTCCTCTCGTGTATCGTTTTTCTAAAAGTAAAAATTCTCCAAATTAAGGGAAGATAGTCTGGAATTTTCCAAGTTGCAAGATCTAGAATTTCCTGCCGACAAAACTTATGAATTTAGGCTAAATACGTTTCCAGGGATATATTCCTTTAAAAAAAAATTCGATAAAACGATAACAGAAGGGGAACATCGACAGCAAAACTGCAAAACGACAAAATTCCTAATTGATTTACGAGAAAACAAATCAAATCCTAATAGCACGCGATGCTAATAATTGGAAATGGCAGTACGGTTCATGAATTACACAGCGCGCTAATGAAACTCTGATTCTCTTCTGGATAACAGTAATCTAATTGATTTAGTATCTTCGTGTACGGTGCATTAATTTATTCCAGTCGTATCGATTAAACGTCATTTTAATTCGTCAATCTAACATCATCTAGCACTGGCATTTCCCTTCGCATAATTTACAATCCATGATTTAATACAGCGCATGATTTAAAGAAAGGGATCAATATAGATAGGGTTTAGAATAGAGCAAGGAAAGAAAAGATTTTAATGGACATAGATAGGGAAATTAATATCTTTCTAAATTTTGTAAATTTTATTTTAATTTAATTTAATTTTAATTTTCCTGATAGGACAGTTTCATAATTTTACTTTATCACTAATGTTAAGTTGTGAGTTATATATATCGCATATTGTAATATTCTTCGAATGAAACAACAATTAACTTATTACAAACTGTTACTCGGATCAGTGAAATTCTCTTGACGACGATTAATCGTCGTGGCGATTAAACTATCTAGACAAGGATCTAGGGACTTTTCCGGGAGGCACGTGGCGTCCCTGGTGAGACGATGATTGATCGACGCCATGACAGTCAGTTATCGCGTAATCGTCGATCACAATCGTCCCGGTCATTTCGACGCGGCCGTTCATTATCACGTTAACACGAGACTCTACTTATCACGTAAACGTTTTAATTGTGCATATCGGTCCACGAATTTGGTCCTTTGGGAGATGAAAAGCACGACACGGAGTTATGTACCTTGCTTCCGGCACGAATTACTCACTTTTGTAACGAATTTGGACATTCATTCGGTTGTCGAAAATTTCGAGATTTGAACATTTGAAAATTTGAAATTTCTGAAAGGACACAGTTGTTTGAAAAGTAAAACTATGACAGAGAGATAGGAAAAAACATAGATGTCGATGCATCGATGAGGAATGAATTTTGAGGCTGGAATTTCTTGGCATTGATGGAACAGTTTCTAAAAGTGCCTCGTTTAAACTGAACGTGGGGGAAATTCTTAAATAATAAGTTCGCTCGAGAAATATATTTCACTCGTGACTTTTTACAAGTCTGTCAAGAAGAACCCCCGACTTATAAGAATTCGTAACCTGTAAAAATCCCGAAGTTTATTGTCTGGGGGAAGACTTTAAAATCAGAGATGAAAGAATTTTATTTGCTATGGAATTCAGTTCTTGACGATATTGGTTTCAAACGTCAAAGGACTCTGGTCGAAGAGTTACTCAAATCCCTGAATTTAAATCCCCTTGACCTTCTGTCCCTCCGGTCGCATAAAACTCTCTGCGTAACTTAGAAAATTTTTACTCGTCTTTGAAACACAGATAGCTTTTCTTCTAAGAGAATTTTATT